CTCCTGGGTCTGGGGGGGCACCCAGGCTCAATTGCCAAGCTGGGGAGCTACGGGGTGTGGGTCCCACCCATGCGCTCGGTGGCGGACCTGGAAGTGGACTGGACATACTTCCAGTCCACTTCTGGGTTCGTTGCTGGGCACATGGGCCCCCTCCCCACGCTCCTGTGGGATGCTCCATCCACCTCAGCATTTACAAGCCACCTGGTACCTCGAGGTATGTAGAAAAAACATATAAAGCTGTGTGTATGTCCAAATCATCAAATCTCTCCAAATCGATTCTGATTTGATTTGGAGAGATTTGAAAGGTCTTTGATTTGATTTAGATTCGGAGATTCGGCTGCCGAATTGGGCTGAATCCCCACCATATCAAATCGGTGACTGAAGCTTCACACAGCCCTAATGAATATGGCTTATACATGTAACCAGAATACATAATCAAATTCAGTTTTTCACATAAAAAAGTTAATGTGCTTAAATCGGTAGGAACATTTTTGGAAACTTACTATGAAGTTGTATAGTAAGTTGTATCCTTTCATTTTGCATATCTTGGCCTGATGTACTAAAAATCTTTGTCCATAAACAACAGTAAAATCATGTAACATCTGAAAATGGGAGGCATTGCATGCAATTACATAGTGTTAAGTAACTACTGTAACTAATAAAGGTTTTTTGAAAGTGCTGTAGATGCTAATTTACAAAATTAAACAAAAATTTTAAGCAATTGGGAACTGAGTTATGCACATATCAAGCCAGTATAACAAGGTGGTTTTAGTAGCATGACCCTTGCTTTCTTTTCCTGTTGCTGTTTGTTTCTTAACCTTGCTTTTCAAGTCTTGCATTTAAATCATTGTAAGCTCTTCATAGAAGAGAGTTCTCTTCCTGCTCTGTTTTGTACAGCTCACCCCAATGAGATCACTACCTTTTGACCGATGCCTCTGGGCACTACCATAATACAATATTTATCTAGACCAAAGATTGCATTAGCTGGAATATGTACTAAGTTGAATGTTCTTCTTAGGAATGGCTATAAGTTTCTGTATTGCTCCGCCCGAGCCATTGGAATGGCAGATATGACAAGAGGGTATTTACACTGGGTGAATGACAAAGGAACAATCCTACCCAGAGGCCCCCTGATGTTGTCCCCCAGCAGCTTATTCTCTGCCTTTCATAGGTAAGTGCATGAGTACTCAATTGCCAATTTCCTACATGTAGAGTGGGGAAGAGAGGAGAGAAGTTTGAGAAATCGCATTAGCCAATGTATAAGGTTAACAAGTATCCTCTGTGTCTTAGGTTTACCCCAGGAAGCTGAAGAGACTTTCTAGTTTTATCATAACCACTGTTGATTCTCTGGCAATGAAACATGATCATGTACATGTATTAAAGGTGTATTATATTACAACAGGTGAAATATAAGTTTAGAAAAGGAGAGGCTTATTCACTTCTCCCCCTTCCATCCTGTGGATAATAGTTCATGTAAGATTCTATACTTACTGATACACTTCTGTTCAGAAAAGCATGGCTGCGGAATTTAGAGAGTTAAATATCATATATTAATCTGAATTCCCCAGCTTTTCACTGAGTATACAGCATACTTATGTTGGAGATTCCTACATATAGGTAGGGTGGGTTACTTGCTGTTAAAACAGCGAGGGATTTCAGATGGCTAACATTTGAGACAATCACATTGGAACAACAAATGGAATAATTTTTTGTTTGGGTAAGTCATTTTAAAAAATAAAATTAATGGTAACTGCAACTGTTAAGGGCCCCAGTTGTGCTCCCACTTGAAGTTACTGGTAAAACTTCTATTGACCTCAGTGGGAGTAAAACTAGGAATCTGTCTAATGTGTTCTCGTTTGTTGCTTTTAATTGGTTTAATCATCTTTTGAAGGTGGAGCACTTCCATGAAAATTTACCAGTCCAGATGCAAAACCTGCTTGTCTGACTTGTTCATATTAACAGCAACATCTATAGAATTGGCAGTTCCAGCT